ATATTTATTATTTTGATTAATTTTTTTTTATAAAATAAATAATATTTAGGTAGCACGATATTCAAGCAGAAGGCTTTAATTTTATAATTCTTATATATTTTTGATATTAAAATCAGTCATGTTCTTTTCACTGAAAATATAAGATCAAGAACGTCTTCAATTCACAATAGACTTAATAAGATATTGAAAAAATTAAAACAATCAAATTTGATATCTGAAACAATAAAAACGCATTTGTTTCATGAATTCATAACGCAGTCAATCAAACGCAAAAGAAAAAATATTTGGCCTGGATCAGACGTGATATAGTCAAAAATAATACAAAAAATGAGAGAGGTGAAAAAAATTACCTTTGTACTTTTAACGTGTAAGAACTGTTTAGAAATAAAATATAGCAGTACATGTCAAATAATCAGTTAGAAAAGAAATAAATTAAAATTAAACAACCACCAATCACAATATGCGTGATCTATACGTAAGAGTACATATTTAAATTTCAATTAATAAAAATATTAACGAGCAAATAGCCAAAAGTTTTAATTAACCTATTTATTTCCTCCTTCATTTCCCGAAACACACAGTATAACATACATTTATGGTTTATAGTTGAAGAAGTTTGGTGTAATAACATCATAAAAAATATAAAATGATAGAAGGACAGTGAATATAATCTACTATGAAACTATAATCTATTACAGTAAATTGCTCACACTATCTACAATACAATTATAGACAGTAACTGTCGGTATATAGTAACTCTCACGTTGACTGAACAGGACCGTGCCTTCTCGAGTGTACGTCCATTTAGTATACATATAAAGAAAGGAAAATTGCGCTGACTATGTTATACTAAGCCCGCAAAATATATATATATGGAAAAGGTAAAGAAGGAGGCCGAAAACGACTTGGCGTAGAACAGTAAACAAAGAAATCTCTAACAGCGACAAGACTTGGATATCAAATAAAGCAATTAGCAATTAACAAAGTGCAATGCCGGAAGCTATCTTATGCTCCGGAAGTGAGCGAGCAAAAGAAGAAGACAGCATATTTTCAATTTTTATTCAGTAAGAAATACTTACTAAACAAGATTTTACATAAATATAATTTAATCATACACGTATATCAATTGTTACAGCAGGTGGGAGCATTATTAATCAAAATATTACATAATTTTTCATAAATGTGCAAAAAAAAAAATTTTTTTAAAAAGTGCAATTCTTTTTTTTTTCAACTTGTTTTTCTATATTTCGCCCTCTACATTTAATATAATTTTCATTTCCTAAATAAGAATAAAAATTTTCTATGAATATATAATATGTACATTATGGTGTATGTATGTATACTTTATATTACGGTTAAATTTGCAAAGTTGTTACATAAACAAAATAGAATTTTAAATTTTTTAATAAAATTACATCATACAAATTGCTTATAAATTTAATTTTATACAAATTTTAGGTCATACATACTTTGTTTTTTAAAATAATAATAAATTCATTTAATACATGAAGCGTATATATACGGTGAATCTAGGACTGCTTTTATTAAAATAAATATTTTTATATTTTTATATTTATAGCCTTATGCATATATATATATGTATATACATATAAATTTTTATACCAAGATGCAGAAAAATTAAGACATGGTCGCTGTTTTGCAGAAATATCTCTAATTTAGTAGGGAAAAGAAAAATTTACCCTGTTTCGGCTTAGTAATTGTTGGAGATAGTTGAGAAACGGGATAATTATGAGACCCAGATTCTTGGTACCGAATTTTGTGATAGCCTGATAGGTTAGTATGGAATTTTCGCCTTTCTTAAAAATCGGTTGAGTTCAATCAAATTCATTCCGTAATTTCCAAAATACAGTTAGAAAATTGTCAAAGCAATTCGACTACCGCAATCAAACTTTGATTTTATGTATTTTGGATCGTATTCTCACTGCAGTAAAAATAATCTAGTGAAAAATCATAATGGGATCTTGACAAAAAATAACTAACAAGAGATTGAAGAGTTTGTCAGAAATGTCACACTTGGGCCAGTACAAAAATTTAAATAACACAATTCTACAATTTTTTTTTTCGCGAATAAACTAGAATGAGCAAAGTTTTCTGCTTTGTTTTAATACGAAAAGAGAACCAGTCAGAGCGGACTCATTTTTTATTCTACATTTTTGAGATTTAGGGTTTATTCTTTTCTTTCTCTATTTTTTTTTTAAAGAAGAACTATTAATTTTAAATTTTGCTAATATATCAATTATTTTTGTGAAAATTCTGAACAAAAAATTCCTATTTAGAAACTATAATATACGAAAGAAATTTGTAGTCTCATATTTTGTCACAACTTTTTTTTTTTTTTAAAGATAATGCAGCACTGCACTTATTTCAAAAAATTATAACGGATCATATACATATTATATGATCATATATTTCGCGCATTTTTATCATTTCCAATTCACACTGTCATCCGTCATAATTTAAAGCAATTGGTTTTGAATTTGATTATACATAAATATCATATAGTAGCAATTGAATATGACGAGCGCATGGCCAAAGATGAGATTTTTTGCGTTTGTTTTTTTTGACGACAAATAAATGTGTGTATGCGCATACGCGTTTGAGTTCGCAAATATAATTTTTGTTTTGTATTAAATACAATGCATTTTAAGATCTACTAAGAATAATATTGCTTTTTTTTTAGTAATTTGGTATAAGTATACTAGATATTTACTCTGTGCGTATATTTATTAAATAATAGAATTATAACATCATCATATTGCATTAAATATGTGTGTAAAATTCTACTAAATATGACATATAATATCGCTTGGGCTAATAAAATTAAAATTTTAAAATATAACAAGTGATAACTATAGGAGTATACATTTAGTGTAAATATATTTGCACTTGACAATAATTATTAATATGTGTGATATATAAACCCACATAAAATTTCCGGAAAAAAATGAAGTTATATTTGTGGCGGAAAATATATATTTATCGTGTAATAAGGATTTTTATGAAATTGTTAATTACATAAAGGCGTTAGCAATTCAAAATGAATTTTGAACTTGCGAGTTGTGTTTCAATCTTAGATCTTTTAGATCTTTCAATATATCATTAAAATGACAATTACCACTCTAACAACATAAATTTGAGAAATTCCAAAATTTCCAAATATTTTGCAAAAAAAAACCAAATTCTTCCTGTACACCTTCTTCCTGTAAGTAACATCACCTTAAATTCGATATTTTAATTCAACAACTAATAAATTTAGTCCAAATTTAATAATTTTTATTAGGTTTTTTTTTTTTTGCATTATATCACAATCAGACAATCAGAAATTTCAATAATGTATTCCAAGAAATTGTTCTATATATAAAATTGCGATCACGCACAATATAGCATGCGATAAAGAATAAAACAATTTAAATGACAAAATCATTATAATTCACATAAATTTAATTTTATAAAATTAAATATTTTGAACATTCCGCGCATATACACAAACATTAAATATAATATTCATATATATATATATATATATATATATATATATATATATATGTATATATATATAGATATAGATATATATATATCTATATCTATATCTATATCTATATATATATATTCATATATATATATATATATATATATATATATATATACCATAATTTTGAATATATGAAGGGTACTCAAAATTTCTATTAACCAAATTATAGCAATTTTGGTAATTGAAAATTTGATAATATTGTATGAGTATATCACATGCAGTATATTAGTATATATACTATATTTATATCTTATTTAAAAATATAAGTTCAACTTGAAAAACTTAATTCAATTAGGAGAATTTTTTTAAATAAGTAGATTAATACAAATTTAGAACAAATAAGGGGAAACAAATATTTATATACAAAAAAAATATATTGTGCACATTTTGTTTTATTTAAATAAATTAAATATTAGGCATTTTAATAAAATTACCAAAACAATAAAAATATATATTTAAACTATTTACATTATTTGATATTATTCTTGACCAGTCTCAAGTGGTCATTTAAAATTTTTGATATAAAAAAAGTATGCATGTATAGAGTGTATGAAATATTAATAATTTTATTAATTTTTATATTAATTTAAAATACTTAATTGAAAAGTGTATCTAATATTTAATTAATTCATTTCAATTTAATAATTTACAATTTGAATTTAATGTAAAGCGGCAGATTTATATTAAAGATATTGCGAGGCGTAATTTTACAGTTTCTTTTGTAGCCGACAAAACAGAAAATATTATATTGACAATTCCTCCAAGAGAAGCAATTCACGTTCTCAAACGAACTTTTTTTTTTTCAAAAAAATTCATTTGAGAAAAATTTTAACACAGATTTGATTGTGTTCCAATTTGAAACCTATTATAATGAAAACGCAAAACTAAGATTAATTTTTTTCGGTAAAATTTTTAAATCAAACATTTGATCAAAAAATATTTACAGAGACAATATATGAAGTTGATAGGACCCATTATGGTCAATGAAATTTTAGGAAACGCTAAAAAAATGTGTTAAAACTCTCAAGTAACTATAAAACAAAAAAATTTTTTATTTCAATATAAAATACTTATTAGAATTCCTTAACAATTACAAACAAAAAAAAATTGCATTATAATATTTCCAAATAACATTGAATATTTTTAAACACCTATTGGAATCGGGCATTTTATCATCAAAATTTATGGAAACCAAATTTTGAGCATATAAACGATTAAAAGCCAACAACACAACTCTCGTTCAATATTTTTTAAAAGTAAAAATCTAGAAGCTTTCGAATAAATTCATTAAAATTTTTTTTCATTTTATTCAAAATTTTCAAAATTTTATTTTATCTCATTGCATATACCAACAACAACTTATTATTAATAATGTAATAATTGGAAAAATATTTTAAATTTAAATAAAAAAAAATATTAATTAAATAAATTCTTAAATTAGTTTTACCTTATTTCCGTCCGTAAAAATTTTGACAAATAATAAGTTAGCAGGTTAAAAACCTGCTAAAAATTTTCCAAATCCTAAAAGTATGCAATATCCAAAGATATTTCAATTCAGAGTTACTGAAAAATTGATTTTTTTTTTTCTTTATCCTATTCCTTTTCAAATTAATTATTTTTTTCTTGTGTTTTTCAAGTATTTTTTTTTTCTTTCTTGTAATTGAATCAACTTTTAATTAAATTTTTTTTTTTTTTTCGTCTATATTATTTTAAAATCGATTTTTTTCTCTCTCTGTGTGTATTTAATTATAAAGAAATTCACTTAATATACGAAAAATCTTAAATTTTAAAATTTAAAAAAAAAATTTATTTTTTTTCTTTGTTTCTTTTTATGTTTCTTAATTTAGTTAAAATTGTTAAGATATTGACACTTTTATCTCTTATATTCACATGTGTGTGAGTGTGTGCAGCCGTGCATATAAATGAATTTTATTATTTTTTTTTGCTTTTAATTTTATTTTTTTCAATTTTTTGCTTTTTAGTTAAAAGTTTTCAAAATCTTTTTAAGAGCTATACAAAACCAGTTTTTTTTTTCTTTTTCACACTTTTCCTGAGGTAAAATTAATTAAAAACGTGACGAATAATTTTTCCACAATATACACGAAAAGTTTAAAGAAAACTTTTGTATTTTTTTTTTGTTTTTTTCACATTCTTTGTCTTCTTTTTGGTTTTTGTGCACTTTTCACTTGCTTATATAACAATTCATTTTTATACCTGTAGAAATTTTTTCCGGAAAATTAAGAGTAAAAAATTTTTTTTGAAAATTTTCTGTTACTCTTATGTATGTGTGTTTGTGCAGTTAATGTAATTTTTTTTTCTTTGTTTTTTTTTTTCTATTTTCAAGTGTATAAAAAGTTTAAAAGTTAAAAATGTACACGTTTATTATCTGCGAAATTTTTCGTAATGTACGGCGAAAATTTTCTAACAAAAAAAAATTTTTTTTTGTTTTAAAACTCTTTGGAAATTTTTTTCTTTTTTTTTATCAGAAAAAGTTATTGTAAAACTTGACTTTTGCTTCTTCTTCTTGTTTTTTTTTTGTTATTAAAGTTAATTATCTGATTTTGTATTTCTTTCTTTTTTTTAATTCTGTTAAAAAAAATTAATAAAGAAAATGGTTTTTAATTGAGTGAAAAAAAAATGAATTTTTCTTTGTGAAAAGTTTAAGAGTTTTTGCTGCATATACCAAAAAAACAAAATATAAGTGTTATATAAAGTTTTATAATCGCTATTTCATGCAAAATTTAAATCGTTTTAATTATTTTGAAAAAATATTCTTGAATATGCTCTCGCAAAGTTAAATTAGTTAAAAATTTTTCATAATATTATTAAATTTTTAGAATTCATGTGTTAAACATAGCTTATAATTTCATTTAAAAGTTTTTGATTCTCATTATTTCAAATTTTTTAATTTAATTCGGTTAAAATTATTTTGAATATAGAATTCGAATAATAGAAGTGATACTGTAAAATTTTTAATTTTTCTTAAATATTTTTGATTATTTTAATGCGAAAGTCTATAGTTTGAAAAATTCGAGATAAATATTATTTTTTTCAGTTGTTGTTCGAATTACATTATTATACAATTAACCTAATAATTAATATAAATTCTAGTAAAATGAATGAATATACATTAGGAAGTGGATAGGAATTCGGAATTTCGGTATTTTTTCCAACTACTTATTTCAAAATATCACAACTACTTGTAATTAATTTTTAAAACAGCAACGCAAAGAACATATATGTATATTTTTGTAAATTGAATTATTTAATATAAATATTAAATTTTCCTTCAAATTATTTCAAAATTTATGTTTCATATGCTGTGAATACTATTGCGTTAAAAATCGGGCCCATATAAATATTAATAAATATATTAAAGTATTTGTTTTTCATATCTTATACTTTAAAACAAAATTAATTTGTTCATATTATTAAATTGAAATTATTAAATTTGATCATTTATAATAAAATATTTTTAATAAAATAGAAATTTAACAATTTTTATAAGTACTAAGTCTAGGTAGATTCAAGTCAAGGTCTTTAAGTAAAAATATATAATTTTTTAATTAATTTTTGAAAGTAGGTACAACTAATTTTTTGGTGGAAATAAATTAATTGAAGAATATAGAACAGATATTTCATTTCAAGCAGAAATTTTTAGGCAAATAAACGAATAAATGGTAAATAAATCTTTTATTTATATAAATTGAGAGTTGAAAATTATGTAAGAATTTTGAAGATAACGAGTGTTTTTATTTTGATTTGAATTGATTTATTAACACAGAATTTGTACACATCTCAATTAAGGCTTGTCTAACTTTGTATACTCTACTTCCTCACAATTTCAAAGTTAATTTTATTCATGTGTAATGTAATTATCTTGTATTAAGTGTAAGTGTATATGCAACAAAATTAAATTTTTTAGTTTTTCACAATCTATATTTTTTATTCACTATTGAATTTTTTTTTTCAAATATAGCTATTAAGTTTTCTTCTATTATCGGAAATATTATTTATTCTTTGTATAGAAATGTAAATTAATATATTGCGTATGATTATTTGTTCAAATGTCCTAGTTTTATTAATTAAAAATTTTATTAGATAAAAATTTTAAATAAATTTTTTTTTTTTCATTTTTTATTTCTTATTTATTTTTATACATTCCTTTTATAAAATTAAATATTAAACTTCTATTTTAAGAATTATTTTTGTAATTATTATAATTATATTGAATATCCTTTATATCCTTAAATTTTCATATAAAAACAAAAATAATTTTAATTCACCATTTAATTTTTTTAAATTTCCTTTATGTAATTTAATTATTTTTTCTTTTGTTTGTTTTTAAATTCACTTTAAATTTTTTTTGTTTAATAACTATTTTTTTTTTTGTTCTTCCTCTTCTTTTATCATTTTTAATATTTAAATTATATTATAAAAATTATTTTCATTGTATATTATAATTGTAATTGTAAAATTTTAAACGAAAATTATCCGCGAAAACGTTCGACCATATCAAAAACAAGATCGTGAATGAAATCACCACAAAAAAAGTAAAAAAGAAAAAACAAAATGAAAACAGAATTTGTATATGATACCGTTATAGGACGACGTTTATATTTATTTTTTTTTTCATTTTGGTTTATTCTGTTATTTCTTTACATTATTATGATAATCAATATCATCATCATCATTATAACCATCACCATTCGAAAAAAAAAAAAATTTCATATAAAAATAATCATAAAAATCGACCCCCTCATCTTATAAAATTTTAAACCAAATATACACACACTATACACACAAAAAAAAAAAAACAACAAAAAAGTAGAAGAAGAAGAAGAAGAAGAAAAACAAATTATAACTATAAAACGGTATATAAGTAGAATGCAAAATGTTTATTATATTATAATGATTACATACAACTATACTAATAAGTTAAAGTGAAAAAAAATATATAATAATAATAAAAAATAATTTTATAATAAAATATTCCTCCTCATTTTTAAATTTGTTTTAGTTTTTTTCTTCTCTTCTTTTTGTATGTATGTTTGGGCATTCAATCGTACCTTTGTATATAAAATCATTTTTTTTTGCTTTTTCTTTTCTTCTTCCTAAAATCAGATTTTCCAAAAACAATAATGAAATTTTTTTTTTCCCTCTATTATCGTTTCTTTTTTTTTTTGTATAATTTATTATATTTTTTTTTTTGATTTCAAATTATTGTATTAAAAATGAGAAAACTCATAACTAGTTTGTATCCAACCAACCAGCTATACTCAAGTATAAAAACGTAAAACACATAAACTATATATATAGTGGTATGACATTAAAAGAGAGGCGAATATAATTATAATAAAATGTAGGTATAACACACCAAAAAAAAAAAAAACACATTTATATTAAACGTCACTTTATAAATAATAAAATGAGAAACAACAACAAAATATTTTTATACCTCTCCTATGTTACAAAGAAAAAAAAAATATTATTTGCTTGGTAAAGTATAAAAAAGAGAAAATTTCTTTATAATTTCTATTATATTTAAAATTATAAAAAGAAAAAAATTAAGTAAAGAAAATAGTATATAGGTAAAAAAACCGTAAATTATTAAATCTCTTTCTCTTTTCTATATATTCTCTACCACTTCCAAAATTCTTGTAACTATTTTACTCTCAAGGATATTCTAAAATATTTTTATATATACCTACCTACTTTAAATGTCTAGAACAAAAAAAAAAGTAACATATACATGACGTACCTTATCTATTATACACAATATAACAGTATAATCAATTCATATTTTATTTTCATTTATTTTCTCATTCTCATACAGCTAGCGGTACAAAAATAATTTGAAAAAAAAAAATTCTCTCAAAGAATTTTTACAAAATATACGAGAAGAGAAAAAAATACAGTTAACTGCTAACCTAACTATTCCAATTCCCAACAATCAAATAATAATCATACCTAATAATAATCTCTTATAAAATAAAGCAAAATAAAATACACCTACATTTCTACTTCTACATACACATATACTTATGTATCTATATATTTAAATTTAAATATAAAATATAAGAAAATTAATATAGAAAGCAAATCATAAAAATAAATGAGAATATTATTAAGAAAAAATATTCGCAAACATGTATGCTAGATTGTAAATGTATAAAACAACCGCACATGATATTTAGATTTGAGAAAAGCTGATAATCTTTTGATGGCGACCGACAGACAAAAAAAAAATTAAAAAATAACGATTTTGCAAAATATTATTTTTAATTTTTTTTCGGTTTTTTTTTGTTTTTATTATAATATTAAAAAATATAACATTAACTTAAAATTGTGTGTGTATTTTGCAAAATTATAATGACAATAGTAAATATAATTAAAAAATTGAAGAAAATGTTCTCTGCGACTGGGTATATAAAATAAATCCCGCCTTCAAAAAATAAACGAAACACAATTTGAATTTTTTTACTGAGAGCGAAAATATTTCATTTCCAATAAGAAATAATATGAAAATTGAGAGAAATATTATGATTCACTATTAAGCTGCTGATGGAAGACACCGTTCTCTCTTATTTTAATGTTGAAGCATGAATGTTGCTTGAGAAATTTATGTAGAATTGGTTTTTACCATGAATATGAACGGCATCAATATCAACTTTGTTTTCTAATTGAATTGTATTTGCTGGGAATGTTGCTATAGATTTGTTGCTCACAAATTTTTAATTTAAAGAGTCAAGAGAGGAAAAAATATCGTTATGAGAAATGAGATGACTGACGAGACGATTTTGTTATTATATTAATTACTCATGTTTATTAAAATTATTGTTGATACAAAAAGTTTTATCAGCAACATTCTCCTATTTTATGTAATGTACTTTTTTGAAAAATATTGGAATTGTAAAAACGTTTATAATAAAAATTAGATTTAAATTTTTATATTTTAATGAATTTAAATTCAATTTGTTTTTTTCTGATGAGGTGACTTGTTTATGCTCATGGCTCGTAAATTTCTAGTGTTTTGTGTTTGTTATTCGTTTAGACCAATGCACGTCGCGGATAACTCGCAATCTACTTATTTAGCATTACTTGCAGTTTTTTTGTGTTATTTTTTTGTATAAGACAGATCCCTTTACTATATAGAAGATCCGATATAATGCAGCAATTGAAAATTATCAGCTTTGTTGATCTGGCCAAGTGTACTAATTTCAAGATTCTCTACAGTCGCCAAAAATGCTATTCTTACCATCTCAATTCTATTTTTGATATTCTCATCTGTTACTTTTCACATGATACTCACAATAACACCAAAGTAGCTCAAGTAAGTCTCTATTGGGTTCGAATTACAAAGCTGTAAACGTTATATGTATTTACGCGGAGTGGCTTTGTTTTTGCTTGGCTGACTCTGAAGCCAACCTTTTCGGCCGGTTCGCTAAGTTGGGTGAGTTTTGTACTCATGTCAGCGAACGTATGAGACAGCAAGGTTACGTCGTCTGCATACATTTCAAGGTTTTCTAGGCGATTCATGAGAGACCACTGAATGTTGACGTTAATATTTTTCTCATCACCTCATGATGTTGAACAGTATCGGCGAGAATTTGCATCCCTGCT